CAGCCCCCAGCAATGCTGACCAGGAAGGGGTACAACCCAGGACCCCCTGCCTGATGCAGACCCCCTAGCAGCCTGGCCAAGACTTTCTCAGAACTGGCCTGGTCAGAGGCTGCTCCCACCAAGTTCTTCCTCCCCTCTCTCCACGGACAGGGTCACACCTGCAAGGAAGTCAAAGGCTTTTCCTACCATCCTGTTCCCTCTTCCCCTCCTTCCCCTCCCAGGCAACTCCCCCAGTAAGTCTCCTGCACATCCTGCACATCTGACCTCCTTGGCATCTACCCTAGGACACTATAGGCAGTCAACAAGTACTGTGTGAGGAATAAACCTCTAGAAAGAGTAATGCTATGGACAGCAGATGAACTTGAAGTTGCAAGGATAGAAGTTTGGGCTCCTGCTCTGCCATATATTATTTACAACCTTAGGAAGGCTTCTTGAGACCTTTGAGCCACAGCTTCATTAGATGTAAAATGAAGATAATACCACCAGGGTTGCCAGGAGGATTAAACAAAATAGTTTATCTAAGGTCCCTATCAAAAGGTTTCACACATAAGAACTGTCTGAACAATTACGAGCTCATTCTCCTCCTTACCCATTTTCTGTAGCTACCTCGAAGAATCCTTTACCTTTCCCCTTCACCAAGAATTCTGACCACTTTTTAACTAAATAAAGCCCCAAATAATCCTATATACCCACTAGTGAATCCCTTGTTCAATTGAGCCTAACTGATGAATAAACTTTATTTTCATTCCTGACTTGCCTATGATGGCTTTAAGGTTTATTTTAGTAGATTTCAGAAAGTGAAATCTCATCAGACATAGGTATCTTAAAACTCTGAAACTTATGCTATTTCCCTAAACCTTTAAGTAAAACATGCTTTAAAAAACAACAACAAGCCAATCAAAATCTAAACTGCAGTTCTGTACCAACATCTTTCGGCTAAGTTTTTTAGCCCCTTTAAAAAAGTTTTAAGTTTGTAAGATTCTAGATCATTATGGGGTTTTCCAAGAAAATGTAGTACACACTGACTTTGCATAGATTTCTGCTGAGCAGTTTTTAAAGAAGACTGAAGCACAATGTGTGTGCACTTACACACGCATTTTAAAAAGCCTCTAGGTGGATAAACTAAATTGTTAGTGGTGGTCACTCACAGGGATCAGGACTAGGAGGCATGAGAATGAGGAATTCTTACTTTTATATACTTCAGTTTTACAGGACTGGCTACATAACCTGTGTGTGAGGTCATGCAAAGTGAAAATGTAGGTGCCTTGTGAAAAATTATTAAGAATATGGAGACTGTGATAGCAGAGCATTAAAACTAAGTGAGGGCCCTGTGTGACTGTAGAGGTTGCTGGCTCATGAAACCGACCCTGAGCCTTTATCATTTTTATTAACCTAATTGTTTTTTAATTGAGTATAGTTGATTTATAATATATTAGCTTCAGGTGTACAATATAGTGATTCAAAATTTTTACAGACTATATACTCCATTTAAAGTAACTGTAAAATATTGACTATATTCCCTGTGCTGTACAATGTACCCTTGTAGTTTATTTATTTTATACATAGAAGTTTATACCTCTTAATCCCCTACCCCTATCTTGCCTTAGTTCTTTATTTGGGAAAAATTTTTTACCTGCTTCCAGAATTTCAGTGTCAGAACCAAGGTATAAAAATAGGTGCAGTTTAACAATGAATGAAATGCTTCTGAAAATTACATTTTAATATAAATACATGAAATATAAGAAAGAACTTTAAGTTTTGTTTTTTTTTTTTTTACTACACTGAAAACCACTGGATCGTAAATGGAGGTTGAAGTTATGGAAGTGAAGATCAAACACAAGGAATAGATAAAGTGAGAACTGGAAGAGCAAATCCCAAAGATGACTCACTTAAAACAGGGATTTGCCAAGATTCAAAGTTGATTATTAGCAGAGTTGGCAAGAGAACCAAGATTTCCCAATACCTAACCCAGAAATTCTTCTATTATACCCTGTATCTCTCTTCATTATCTGCTGCTAATCATGGCATAACCTAACATTCGCTGCTAAATACATACCCACATATATCTCCTCTCTCTTCCCTTCCCCTCATCTCAAGATTAAACAAATCCAAACATTCTGCAATATTTGGTTAAAGTCTTTTTATGAAAAAAATTGTTATATATAACACTAAGGTTGTTCTCCTTCTCCAGGAGTAAACACTAATCTTACAGTGTGTATCTGTCCCTCCCATTCCTTTATATTTTACTACAGAAGAACTTACATGTAATGTAAAGAAATCCTAGCCCTCCATCCCAATATAAATATTGTTACACAAACAATATCCAAAGTAGGCTATGTAACCAACTACTTATAAAAATAATCTTTAAAGAGCAATTCGATTATTAATTCATAATGCCTAACAGTCAAGTCTAATTAGCTTTACTACTTGACCTTAGCTCGCAAACTCTATTTTTTAGAAGGACAATGAGATAGATGACTTTGACCTCTACCCCTCATTTATTCTTGTTTTCTAAGACAGGTTGTTGAATGATTGCTGCTAACAGTTTTGATAAGTTTTGCTCAACTGAGCAAGATGGGGCATAAGACACTCAACTCCATTGACCTACTTTTTGAAC